CAGGAGCGAGACAGAGGGAGGAGGAGAGACAACGACAGGTCGGGCCTCGGCCACAGGGCACCCGTTCGGGGCCCGTGCTCACGACAGAGACAACGACAGGCGCGAGCCTCACACGCGACTCGCACACGTCCAGGGCCCGAGCCGCGAGCGCAAACCGCGCTTTTTTCTTTCCGTTCTTTTTTGTTTCTTTTTTCTTTTTTTTTTCTTTTGTTTTCTCTCTCTCTCTCTCTCTCTCTCTCTTTCTCTCTGTTTCTCTCTCCTGCTTTTTTGTTTTCCTCTTTTTTACTAGGGACTAGCCTGGCCTCTCTTTCTCGGGCACACGCGACCTCGCCGTGTCTGCTCTCCCTCTCGCATCCTTTCCGCTTCTCTCCTCTTCTTCTTCGGTCTTGGTGGAATGATTGATGCCACTTCTTGTGGAACGCCGCGACTCAGGCCGGGGATTAATTGCTACCGCGAGACTGCTCTCCGAGGGGCCTTCGAATTCTTTTCGCGGGTTTTAATATTGCTTTTTTTTTTTTTGTTTTTTTTTAATGTTGAGTTTAAAAGAGTTTGGAAAAGGTGAGATAAGTTTAATGTTAATGGAATACATACGAAGTGAATGGAGTAAGAGAAATATCGATGTAACGGAATCTTATTTATCTGAAGTTTAATTTTTACCTGTTTGAAAATTATATTGAGATCTTTGAGAAAAAGTCTTCGAAAATGAATTTTTATACTTGTTTTTTGGAATCGAGGAAGAAAAAGATAAGATTAAGAATACTTGGACTAGGTGAAGCAAGATGAGAAAGAAAAGATTTTATAAATTTTAACAATCATATATGTTTTCATTTTATTTCAAAACTAAAGTTCTAAAGTAGAATCTATTCTCGTGATGACTTTCGTCTGTCGAACAATAGTAACCCATTTTGCAATTTAAGAAGAAGGTTTATTCGTGCTTCAAGAGGATTTGCCTACCATGCGTACGTATCTCTCGTACAAGGTAGAAAAGGGCATCCGGATTCGCGTATTATAATGTGTTGCACGAGGTCTTGGCCCCGCAATCAGCTGCAATAAAACATTAAAAAAAAAAAAAAGGAAAGGAAAGGTAAAGGAAACCTGGCTACCTCTTTTTACGTGCACGCAAGACTTCGCTCGTAAAATCGTTCCAGAGTTCAGGGAGAAAGAAAACGAGCACCGATTTTTGCTTTGCACCCATCCATACCCAGAGAGTGAACTTTCGAAAGATTCCGAAAGAGCCAACTCGAATAACGTGAACGTTTGTTGACTGCAATGCTCGTGTAGAAAATCTTACCAAGTTTTTATTTTTTCTTATTCTTTTTTTAAATGGATAAAATATGGATTTCTTTATCCTTATAGGCGAAATCTATACATTATTGAAATATTAGTTGCAGAGAAATCGGTTACAAAGTTTCACCGATATTTTTGTCCTTTTAAATAATTTCGTATTCGATGAAAATGATCCCTTGATCTCTTAATATTGACATTTTAAGATCTAAACAATGGTAATTTATCGAATTGCATTTTAATGGTTTCAACAGAAAAGAGATATTTATTATCTTGAAGTAACCTTGAACTTAGAAACAACAACTTGAAAAATTAAGGGAATCGAAAGGAGAAATAAATAAAAAATTAGTAAATATTGCTTACTACAATAGTAATATTGCTTTTACACGCGTGTCGTTTCATTCATAATTTTCTACATGGAAATTAACCATCGAAAGTATACATACCTACCGCTCGACTAGAGAACAAAGTAATAAATTAAACGTTTCGTGCGTATAACAACGTTAAATACAAATTTATTACCGATTCTTCAGATTTATATTTCTACAAGAATGTAATTGGAAAGCATCGAGTTAATTGAATTAATGCGATACCGGCAACATTTATTTGCACACGTGCCTCTCAAACCGTGCTTCAGCAATGACGTTGACGCCTTCTGAGCGATTACGAAACGCAAAGGTTTGCACATAACTCCTGTCACAGCGGGGAACAAAATTGACTGTGTAATTTCCATTGGAATTAAAATTCTTTTCCCAGGACATGCACGCAATTTTGTGAGTTATTAAACTGTTCTTTAAGTCGATCTCGATATTTAAGTGATCCGGTGGATAACTTTTTAATTGAAATGAAAATCTTAATAAATGGAAATGGAAGAAAAATTGTTTTTCGAAATAACGAAAATAGAATAGAAACTATTATTGCTAAATATAAATTCTAGATTTGAATAGATATATATATATATCCGTCAAATATTTGATTACGTGAAATTGATAAATAATTGTTAAGAATTATCGTTACAATTTGAAATTCCGGATATTTCATCTCTGAAACTCTACCTTATCAAAGAGATGGATAGAATTTCAGATCGATTTACCATATAATAATTTTTAAGAATTTAATTCGATTTAATAAAAATTCGTCGCGTTTCTAACTTCAAACCTTCGTACTTATTTTCCAAAATATATCAACGTATCCAAACGAACGTTCTAAAATTTCTTCGTACATACAGAGAGGAATATTCTAACTAATAAGAACCGGAGGAATACCAGAAATATACAAGCATAAATATTTCCAGGTATTCAACCAGATTTTCTGTATCGATCGAAACAAAACAGCCTCGATCTTCCGTCCGGTCTCACAGTTCTCGCGTGACTTTTCGCGGTACACAACCGAATACCAGGAAGGAAAACAATAATTAATGATGTCATCGGTCGTCAAAAGCCCCGTGCTGTATCGTGGGCGCAGTTATCGCGGCCGTTTATCGTTCGTGCCACCACGCAGACCGTTATCAAAGCGTTCGAAGCGTGCGAATGTTTGCGACCCGTGTCCGATCTTTGATGGCCACGATGCCGTCAATGGAGGCCGCGGTAGTGAGAGAACGTGATCATGTCAGTCACACTCATAAATGGACGTTACGCGTTCGTATTCTATTGATAAGCGCACGTTCGCCGATTAAACGGCGTATACAAAAGAGAGCTTGGCTTACAATTTCGATTTGGCTTACGTAAGTGAATTTAACCCTTCTATTGTGTTTTCCTTTTTTTTTTTTTGTTTTGTTTTTCTTTTTTTTTCTTTTTTCTTCTTCTTCTTTTTTTTTCTGCCAATTACACTTATTCGATTGATTAATTTATGTTAATTTTGTTGAGTAATGCATATTTTTACGCTTACGAAGGATGGGATGGAAAAAAATTGTGATTGTTTCTTTTAATTGCTTTTAACTAAATTTTGTAGATTTATATGAGATAGTTTTTGTAAGAATTCGAGTTTTTTTAAATATTATTTTCTGAAAAATTTTGTTGTTATAAATCAGTAAAAATTTATAATTTTCTTTTCGAAATTATTCAATTGTAAGTATTGAATGTGTTTAAATTAAATCATTCAAAGATAAGAATAATCTTTTATAGGACAAATAATTGGAAAGGGGATAAAAAATTATGCTTTCATTTTATTGGATTTTGTTTGATAAAAGAATTCTATTAGATTTTTAAAAATTTAGAAAAAAATTTGGTAATTGTATAGTTGTTTATGCAACATTTTACGTACAAAATGAATATATGCACGTAAATTTAAAAAAAAATCAAACTCTCCTTCCTGTAATGAGTCCTGTTCTTGTTTTTAACTTCTTTAATTTTATATGTTTGATTATATAAAATTTTTTTACCTTCCTCTCGTTAAGTTCTGAAAATTTTTTCAAATGCTAATTGCGATGCTTTCATCCCCATAACACGGATCCCATTCACTTTTAAATTACTTTTGTTGATATGAAACCTTTCTTATTACTGGATACATACTCGCTCGCATGCATAATGCAAAAGATTGGGTAAAAAAGATTTCAGAATTATATACGTGCTTATTTACACTGATTATCTTTCTCCAGATGTAATTTCACTATATTATTATAACGAGATTTCTAAAATATTATACACTCCCCAATGGGAAAATTCTTAAAATGAAAGAATTTTTTAACCTATCCTCTTTTTTATTCATTTGATATTATTGTTATCTGTTTATTCACATTTCCAATTTATACTTTAATTAACCAAATTCTTCTTAATGAATCTCCCACGAAAATAAAAATATATAGGTAGGAATTATTATGTGCAAGAAATTATCGAATTATGCTTGTATATGTAAAGTTTATTTCTCGTTTAATATACGATAAATATATATTTGATTAATTTAATATTCTTATTATACAAGGAGATCCGAGATATTTTTCTTATTAAAAAAATATTTATATTCTGTATTTATTTATCAGCCATTTCTTCAAGATCAAATCTTTTAGGATTAAACATTTTTTAGTTTATAAGCTAGAAAAAAAATAGGTAAGTTCAATTTATACCTATATTGAATATCAAACATAAAGGGGATGAAAAATTCTAAAATTTTATAATCATTATTTCATCATTTATCATCATTAATATTTGAATTATGAAAAAACAAAAATTAAAATCCCTATAAAAAAAAATAGGAACATCAAGAAGAAGCTTAAACCTTAAAGAATATTTGATAAGTATATATTAATTAGTAAAAATAATTTAATAAAACCTTCGTAAAATTATTCCTATTAATAAAAATCTTAATAATTATCATCTTAACTTTTCACTATTCCATTACCTCCATTCAAATATTCAAACGAATGAAAAACGAAATAGCGAAAAAGAGACCAAATGGATAAATGAAATACCGCATAAAATTACGAAGCAAGAGTCGACCTAATAATCAACGATTAAGCCCCGCAACATCAACGACGATGATCGAATCGGGATCCAAACAAGTTCCAACGAGCGTCGGGACGCCCGTCACGCTTCAAGGTGTAGGTACAACACAATCAAAGCATTTAGACCGACCTTCTGGCTTGAGAAGAGTAGCTTCTGCAGAGGGTTCCAAGTTGGTGAGGGTAGCGGTTACTTGAATGGCGGCGGCGAGTCAGTTTGTCTAGAGACTGCACGCGGTGCGTTAGGTTCTTCTAGGTGTCGGTGAATTTCACTCTATATTTGTCACAGATATTCGATCTCACGTTTTCCTATACGTTCACGTGTATGGAAAGTGTCGAATGGGGTTTCCGTGGCTCGTTCAAGTTTAATATGAAGTTTGTACGTGTATAACCGCGTTTGACGATGTATGCTTCGGTTGACGGTTTGTGAGGATTGTGGTTCTGAAAGTGGATCGACAATCGAGGGTAAGCAGTTCGATCGTTGAGATACATCGAGATGAAATTTAGATAAATTTTGAAGGATTGATGTGTATTAGCCTTCGTTTTTTGAAGTATTGGAAAGTTTGGGGAAATTTATAACGTTGATATACGAAAAATAATAAATGGAAATTAATGGTTTTTATATCGATGAATTTCATTGGTAAATTTATATTTAAAGAATTGATTATGAATGTGTATTATATTTTAATATAACTTTCCTTTTTCAAAAGTTCATTTGAAAGTTGTTATAATGTATTTATTTTTGATCATGTATATAGAAATCATTGGAAATCATTGTGATTATCTATTGATAATTATTATTTATCAAACAAGATATATTTTATTTGTATATTTATAATTTCTGAAAAGACAAAAATATTTTTGTTGAAATATCACAATTTACATCTATTCTGACAGATTAATATAGATTGTGATATGTTAAAAAAAAAAAGTGAATAATTTTAAGAGTTATTTCATTTTTCAATTTATGATTATTAAGCCTTTCTTTTTAGATATTTTGATTTCAATATTTATATTTCAAGATATATCAACTTCTTCGACAATCAAATGTGGATGTTTATTAAATCTTGAAGAGATATAGCTCATGCAATGATGTCATACGAATTTCCTCATCCAGTTTCAAAGACATACCGATATAAAAAAGTAAGTAAAATAGAAAGAAATAGATTGAATATCTATTTTATATCGTGTAATATAATTATATATTTTATACAATTAAAATTTTCCTTTTTTTCATTTTATACAAAAATTTAAGAGATTTTATTTATAAAAATAAAATTTTGATAATCCATATTTTCATTCATTTGTTTATATTTTATCTTGCAAAACTTCATAGGTTTGTTATTTTATTTAAAACAGATAACGAAGCCATTGTTGGAAAGAAAACGACGTGCGCGCATAAATAAATGCCTCGATGAGTTAAAAAATCTTATGATAGATGCATTAGAGGTACGTATTTGTTATTATATTATTATACTTTTTATGAATTATTACACAATTTCATGCAAAATTGCATCGTACAATATTTCTCTTTTAATATCTACATTTTTATTCTAATAAAGATCCTCTTCCTACATTTATTTTTATATATGTTTATAATGAATTATGTTGTCTTTGATCCTTAATCAATAATATTTCGTTAATTTCATTTCAAATAATTTTTACTTTTTATAAATTATGAGATCATTTGACTGACAAATTGTTGAATTTCTTGAACTTCAACAATGATTAAATAATTAATTGCCTCGATGAAATTTAAATAATAACTTTTTGAAATATTTTACAATTACATTTACAAATGTTTTTGAAATTTTACTTTTCCATATTTATAATAAAATCGAACATATATCCAAGATAGACAAGAAATATTTATGTGTAAGATTATTAAGTTATTATCAAAATATTTTATTATTTTGAAATGTTGTATTTATTTATATAGAGTCAATTTCGGATCATATTTTGAATTATGGAAATATCGTACTTTTATAAGAGAAACTTTCTCTGAAAATAGCCTGTGTAGAATACTCTATATATACATAGGCTATAAAGAAAAGAAGTACAATAAATCATCTTTTCACCATTCATATTACCATCAAAACTTTTAAACCTATACCTGATGTTTATACTTTCACGACAGAAATTTTGAAGAACTTGAAAAATACCCTATATCGCATTCATAAAATTAATCACGTAGACCCATAATTTAAATGACAATGACTGAAAATCTAGTCGACTGAACTTTTGCACGCCCCTGTCTTATTCTTCACAATAGTTTCGCAAAGTTTAGAAAAAGAAACAAGAAAAAAAGCAACTGAAGGAAACATCTTATACGCTCACGGAACCGTGAACGAGGAAAAATAATACAGATAAAGTGGCAATCCTATAAATGTCACCAGAGCCGTGATTTCATCGACGGCTCTGTACGGCGATACATTGGTCGAACGAGCACGTGCTATGCTTTTTTCCCTCCATCGAGAAACCTTTGGAAGGAAGCCACGGTTTCTTGCTCGACTTACCGGCCGCGATACCACGTTTCCCCTCTGTAATTTCACGAGTCGCTCGCAGCAGGAAATGCATTCTCGGTCCGCAGCTACGCGTGCAATCGATTTGATGCTTAAATATTCCTAGACCGTGGGAAACTCACGCTCGCTCGCTATACAGTGACAAGAGTAACACGCGACTCAAGCCAGTAATTATGAAAGCCGGTATTTAACGCTTCGACCATGCTCATTACATTTAATACATGGCGTTAATTGCGATGTCTTTTGACCGAACAGTTAGCATGGGAGGAGGGGGGGGGGCGGGGGATCTGACGTCGCTCGATAAGGATTCAGATAAATTACCTTTGTATACCGCTACTTTGAGATAAACACCGTGCGAATTGATTAATGAGATTTCCCTCTTTTGTCTTTGTTTTGTGGTAAGAACTGGTAGGGAAAATGTTTGAAATTTTTATTCAATGGAGATAATGGTGATTTTCATTTTCTTTTGTTAAACTTGCCTTTTATAAAGGAATTATTCGCATATATATTATTTTTAGTTATACAAATATATAAATTATTATAATAATAAATATAAATCTAAAATTATGTATAATGATTGTTTTAGTGTAATGATAATTGCACAAGATTAAGTAGAAATTGATTGATTCAAGGGTGGAAGAAGAAAAGGGTTGAAATAGAAATTTAATTAATTATAAATCAGTGTTTTTTAATTTCTCTTTATTATTATTGAACGTGCAATAGTGATGATAAAAGGGATATATGATAAGTTTTTAAGAAAGTCAGATGGAAAAATATTTGTAATGAACGTGGGTCGGAAAATATTTTCAAAGTTATAAATAATTTTTTATTTCCGTTAAAACGCGAAAAATACAAAACTTAGAGATAAATACTGCAATTTACTGCAATCCACACGAGTTTTCTAACGAATCAACATTTCTGTACTTCAACAGAAAATTTATACAAAGATAAAAACCTATTTTACGAAGTGGTAATACCGGTGCAACAACTTTGCTTGAGTAAGTAAAAGATTGCAATTTTGCAATCGTGCGAAGCTGTTATCGAAATAGTATGAAGACACACATTTTTCAACATTGCTAACTCGATTACATTTTTATCGCGAATGGAATATTCGCATTTGCTTTAACATCGAACAGAATCATGCATGAAATGGCACATATGATCACGCGAAGGATTTAGTGATTTAATGGTAGCTAATTATATGGTCGAGATTTATGTGATAGAGTATATGTAATATGGTTTCTATGTGAGATGATTATTCTTTGAATTGAAAAAAAATTTTTATTGCATCTTTTGTAATTAATTTTATTATTTACGAATGAATTCACGAGTTAATGTTGCTCTTAATATAAGGAAATGCTTTACTTTGATGTTTCCTTCCATTTTGAATTTTATTTTGGAAACTTAGAGAGGAGAAAAATAATAAATTGAAACCTTGCTGTGGTCAGAAAGAATTTTATCGGAGCATAGATTAATTTCATCGAATGCAATTATTGTATATAAGATTTCTAAATAAGATGTTTAATTTCATATCGTTTTTTGCAATAAAGAAGTTCGATGTACGATAATGTTATATTCCAGAAAATAAGAAAAAAATCAACTTGATACTTATATATAAAAAGGAGTAAAAATTGGACAATTTTCTCATAAACAAAAATATGAATATTAAAGTTTTTTTAAATTAGATTAATCTCAGTTAATATCAAATATAGGTTTTTAGTTTTGCGCCATCTATGAAGAGATCGAGTAACTTTCAAGAAGTTACAATCTTCTTTATCATCATATGATAAAGTCACGATATTTCTTAAAAAATTAAGTGCCATTTTTTACTTACCAAAAACAATTTTATATAAATATTTTTGTTTTATCATATATTCATTCGAAATTAGGGACTCGAATGTTATAAATGTATTGGGATTAAAATATTTTTATTCAAATAATTAATGTTGGAAGGTCCATCAGATTCCTTACTGACCATTCCATGGAATCATGAAGCGTAAACTCTTCACGCTTACAGATTATTTACGTACGCCTTTGAAATTCAAATTCGTCTCGGTTCTTCTGTCGGAATGATCGTGTTAAACAAATACACGTCTGTTTTTACATTCGATCGTGAGATAGCTTCTCATTTTGATCACGTTTTCGCTAGTCTATCAGAAACTCTTTCGAGCGGCAAAAGTATGGGAAACAGGATATAGAGCACAAGAGTACGGAAATTTAGCAAAGCGTTTGAAAAAAATTTTTCTCGTATCTTTGAAACATATCGAAATATTTTATCCTACGTTGAAAACTTTAAAAATGAAGAAAATCAATTAATCAAATTACAATATCGATCAAAAGTTTTTCCAAGAAAAAATTTGTCATGAAACATATTTGTGATTTTATACTTTGACCTATTTACGATCAAAACACTCACTCACATTTCTCTATGTTAATATCAGTAATTTCGATGAAATTAATATTTCGATATTGTGGAGTTACTTGACTTAATTTGAATATTTAAATTGCATCCAATTTATATTTTCCTTTTAAATACTTATTTCATTTTTTTTTTTTTTGCACCGTATCATCAGTGTCATTTAAAAAATTGTATATATATGTCAAAATTTATGAATCGTTCTACATAGGAAACAAGCAACTGTTTGATAATATCAGTATTTTTAGTTAATTTTCATTGGATGATGATAGCAGTTTGCAACGTTGAATGAAAGATTCATGGAAAGAACAGGTGTATCGGATCGTAATAAATGAGAAAGCAAAAATTGTTGCTTCGATTTCATTCATGATACTATTTTTTTCTGTCGTATTAATCCAATACATAATATCAATAATATATTTAGGGAAGGAAGATCGTTTATACCTGCACCTGTAATTATGATTTACACTTATTTCGAAATCGGTAGTAATTTTAAAATGTTTACCAACCCAAATTATGCTTAAAAACGTTAAAAACAAATTATATCCGGGCCACATTTTACACAGTATTTTCTTGCACGATTTAATTTTATATAGTTTTTTTTTTCTTTTTTTTCTGTTTACTCTTACATTTTACGCATATTATTTATTTATTTCAAGAAACGCATGTTAATTAGTTCACAGAAAACTGTTTCACGATATTTTTGCTAAAAACATAATAATATTTTTTTTTTTACAATGTTTACAACAATCAAATTATAATTTGTTGTATATTTTTTAAATAACCAAATATCATTGAATAACCATTAAATAACCATAATCTGTTTCGATTAACACTCAATACACTTAATTATTACAAAAATAATAAATTTTAGAAATCAATTAATTTGTCTACTAAATTACATTACTCTTTGTGTTACACGCGTATCACTGTATCGTATTACATGAGGAATTAAACCTCGCAAAAAAAACGATGTTTACCTCAACTTCTCACAAAGAAGAAACACGCTTCTGCCTCATTTCGAATTATCGAACGATGAGAAATTTATTGGTCGCAGACGGAAGGGGAGGACATAAGCAAGTTGGAGAAAGCGGACATTCTGGAGTTGACCGTGCGCCATTTACAAAGGCTGCAGGGCTCACGATCCTCCACCGGATTGCCGGACACCGTCACGAACAACGACGAGGTCTCGGCCGAAAATCGGTGGTTATCCGGTTTCGGCCACTGCGCAGCTGAGGCGTACAGATTTCTCTCGGCTGTTCCAGGTGAAGGCGCGGAAAGATTAGCGAGGCACCTCGCAGCTGGCCTTCAAAAGAGCCGGCAAACGAATTCAACGGTAATTATCTCATCATCATCGATCGAAGAGACGAAAGTTACCCTACCCCCGGATTATCCGCGCTTCTCCACCGAGATTGACGTGTGGCGCCCTCTTTGCACTTACTTTCAGACGAAATTGAATCGTAACTCGTCGCTTTTGAAAATCTTTTTTTTTTTTTTCTTCCTCTCATCTCCCCTTTCTTTTTATCAAGATCTTTTAAACATTTTATTCTTGCTCTTTTTTGACTATATTAAAGTAGAGATTTGGTTCTATGAAGCAGAGATGAGAGTTTATGTAACAAACAACTTAGCTTGCTCAGGAAAGGTATGAAAAATACTTTAAAATCTCTCATCGTTTTTTTTTTTTATTTTAACGAGACGTATTTGATTAGAATGGAATATTGGAATATTTCTATTTTTTTAAAATAGCTTCGATTTCTTTGGTTTTTTTAATGTCACACAAAGAATCGAAAGTCTTTTTTAATAAATGTAGATGCAATTATTTCGCACGTAGAAGAAAGAAAATGGTCAAGTTGTTTGATTTGTTTAATGTATTGTTTTTACACAGCTGAAAACAAACGTGCTGACCCAAACTTTGGCAAGTTTGGATCTTACTACTGATTTATTGGCTTCGTCGATTCCTATCGATAACATTCAAGTAGCATCTTCCAATCAAAATGCGGTCACTTATCGTGGAAGAATTCCTGACGCAATCGCGTTTAACATACCATCCGGATGTAACAGTGGGACGACCGTAGAAAATGGAGAAAAATTAGAAAGAGGTTGCATTTCCGAAATATCGAAAGACTTGAAGGAGGGGCAAACGGTGGAGAAAGTTAAAACTGAGATCAAAGTTGAGGACGAAGAGGAAATCGATGTGGAACGCGTTGATGAAGTTGATCCTATGTGGCGGCCTTGGTAATTTTTAAAATTCTTCTCTCAAACGTTTTATTGTATGGAATTTCTCATTTCTTATCTTTTTTTTCCAAAAATGATTGAAAAATATCATTGTTGAATCTGCTCGAAAAGAATTTTATTCTTGCTCTTTTAAACATTTGATTGTATATTAAAGTAGAGATGTATTTGATTCCATAAAAAAGCAGAGATGTGTATGGATGTAACAAATAACTAGCTTGCTCAAGAAAGATATGAAAAATATTTTAAAAGATTAAACTCAGATCAAAATGTATTATTATTGTGAACAAAAGAGAAAGAAATATGTGGATATAAGTTTGAAAATGAGAATATTCAATATTCCTCAATTATCCTTTATCATTCCTTTATATTTATAAAGTATAATTTTTAAGTAATATTATGTGTATAAATAAATGATAGTATATTGATTCGAAGAATTGTATTTTATTACATAATGGTTGGTTTAAATTTACTACTTTTATGTTTGTTATTTACATTTATAAAACAATTTTAATTTCTATTACTTATTTCTAATATTAATATATTTTAATTGTTATATTTATAAATCGCAATTTTTCCATTGTTATAATCGATCTCATTATTTATAATATAATTTTCAATACACATAATGATGATTTAAAAATGGAAGAATTTATTTTATTATTATTAAAGAATTTTTTTTTTATATATATTATGAAAGTTACATTATGTGTAAAGAAAATTTATAACACTTTAATTTATATCACTGTAAAATATTATAAACTTTATAACAATACTTATATCAAAAAAAAATTTAATTACGAAAAGAAAAAAAAGAATGCAAAAATATTTTGTAAAAAGAAATATTATTAATTTCATTAATTTATAATACGAAAAATATTCATTTTTTTTCTTTTCAAATTTACACTTGTGTCTTTGTATATTTTAAGAAACATCTACTTATTTTACATAGATAAGAATAATTATTATTATGCGCATTGTGATGCCTAGATAAATATCATTTTTAATTATTTTCACAGGATTTTTCTCAATTACAAGAAAGTTTAAAGCAAGAATGTTTATAAAATGCATAGATTTATTGAAAAATAGTTATTATATATGTGTTAAAATAGTTATTATATATGTATATAAAAAAAAGCTTAATACATCTATATTTCTATTTGCAGTCTTTTTTTAATATCATGTATAATATTATTCCTTGTCTTTCAACTATAAATATATATTAATAAGTGATTTACAGTAATATTGTATTTTGTAAAAAATGTACATTAATGTTAATTTTGGTATTTGGTTTTAATTTAATTAGTACAATATTATCCATTGAAAAAATGGTATTTTTTAATTCTAATTCTCATAGCTCTAATAAATATATTAAAATGAAATTTTTCTATGAATATTGTGACAAAATGTTTTATATTACTTATAGATATATAAAAATATCAATGATATAAATAATAATTATAAAAATAGAAGAAAGCATATTTTTAATAATTTGTTTCAAATCGATATCTTAATTCGTTTTTGAGGTATTAAATTTTATAAAAAATATATATGAAATGATATTTTTAGAAATATAATATGATACAAAATTTACATTTTATATATTAAATTTACATTAAAACGTTAAAAATGATGTAAAATAAATAAATTTGATATAATATACATTCGATATGGCGCTCTTATCTTATAATATTTAACTATAATTTTCTATTATTTTAATCTATTAAATCTCCTAATCATTATAATTTAAATTGTCCTTGAATCTAACAAGATATAATCACAATTATTTTACTTTATCACAGATGCAAAATTTTTAATTTTATTATAAAAAAAAAAAAAATAATAAATTTTGCAACTCAACTCATCCCATTAATCCGTATCAAAAATATATATCTTAGTCGATTAAGTCTATAAGCATATAAACCCCTAAAATATAAGTGAGATCCTCCTTTAGGATCTCTTGTATCAAACGGTTCGTTTTACCTCTCGTCTCGGGCATAAAAAGATCAATAAACTTGAAGAAAAAGAAGCACGACATCCCGAAATAATAATACACCGTATCGATTCCAATATTCTCGTTAAAATTCAGGTACATTTTCGACTGGACGAAATAAAGCATATCGTCGTAAATCATAACGATGATAGCAGCTACATCTTTCAATTCCGGGCTAAATATTTCGTCGATAACAACGTTGGGTATCATCCCTAACCCTAATTGAAACGTTATCTGGAACAAAATTGCGAACACTATCGGATTACTTACGTTCTCACCGTTGTTAATCCTGATAAAGAACGTGAAATCGAGGCCCCATATAATTAACACGCACATGCACAGGATCGTAGATTGCATTATACGCCCTCGCCTTTTCGCGTTTCTCAACGTCGTGCCGAAGTAAAATGCGAATACGAGCGCTGTGCTCAGAATCAGTATCATCCCTGTATTTACATCTGCGTCAATTATATTTTTCTCGTATATTATCAGAAAATATTCCATGATGCAGAAATAACCGTTGAAGTGTTGCACCGTGATCAATAGGAACCCAATGAACAGAGCGTATATGTTGTTCGGCAATAGTACGAGGGGCAACTTTTTCAACCAACTTTTTCTACCTTTGCTCCCCTCTTGTAATTCATCGTTCGTGATTCGATCGCTCTTGTACCTGTATTTTCGCGCGTCGCTCGAGTGCGCCCTTCGAAGGAACACCAATTCCTTTCTCGCCTCGTATAGGTCAGATGTGTCCTTGAAGAATGATATCGCTTCGCAAGCTTCGGTTATGCAACCTTTCCTCGTCAAGAAGAGAGGACTCTCGGGGAAAATTGCGAGCAACGGGATGGAGGATATCGATAGGTACAGAAGAATCTTGACGTGGGTCGCGTCGCTCACGAAGGATCCTATGCAGAAGCTCATCAACGATCCAAAAGGTACGCTCGTCACGGACAACGTGGTCAAGGCATCTCTCACGTTGCTGTCCGCCATTTCCAATATGTACGTAGGGTACACCGTATTGGTTATACCGACGCCTGTGCCGAGAATTATTCGTGCGCTGCACAAGCTTGGCAAGCTGGTCGCGTTCAACACGAGGAACCAACCAGAGATGAAAAATTGGCAGGATAACAGGAGGCAACTTTTAGGACCGATCATGTTGACCAAATTGTAAGCTAACAGTCGGCCGATTATAGAACCGATCCCCTTCAAACAGACGATCCACGATATCTCTTCATTCGTTATTGAGAATGGTAAGTTGTCGTAGGTGCCGTTTTTTAATTGGGGCAGAGAGACTGTTGTCCATCCTTGAACCGTGCCGGTGATCACCATGATAACGGTTGCTAAGGAATGGAAAATATCGTGTTTTAGCAAATATATGTATAATTATATAATAGTATAATTTAATCCTTTGCTATTGAAGAATTATGTATTGTAATATAGAATAAATAGAAATACATATATATATAAGCATTTAAGTAATTATATTTTTTAATAAATTAGAAAAATTATTAAATTATATAATGTATTTCAATGTTCATTTTACAACATAAAATACCAACCGGAAATAGATGCTATCCACTGTTTCCATTCTCTTTTGTTATATCTTGATTCGTCTTCTGTAGAGTTTCGCGTGAATGGTTTAGACTGTGAAATAAATATTATTATAATATTATTGAGAGAAATGGAGATATATTTTTATTTTAGAAAAAAGAAGAGAATTAACAAATTATTCTTCTCTTCTTTTTTCTTTCTTTCTAACTCTTATAATTTAATCACTATTACTAATTAATAAGTATTCATTAATAGCAATCAGTATCGGAATACTTATAAGATTTTCGAAATTTAAAATATCAAATGTCAGAATAAATCATCTCTTATTAATTAATATTTCAATATTGTGAAATAAATATTTTATATTTCATATTTATTGGAAAAAATTACTAATTGATGATGTTTTATTTATAATTATTTACTTTTAAATAATTATAAAAAAAAGTATTTACCATTAATTGAAAGAAAATAGACATTTTTGCAAAAAAAAAAATAATTAATTTTTCACACAATATTTCAAATAATATTTCAAAATTTTTAAATTACACTATCACAAATTTTTCGAAACTTTTAAAAACTTGTATCAATTCTTCGAATAATATATATTTTTCCGATAATATTCATTATTTCCGGTAAACCGATATGCAGATCGATCGTAATATGACGAGTGTTCGAAAGGAACTGAAATGGCAAAATTTTAGTCAAAAGATACAAATACTTGTTCGAATTATCCTTGCAAATTTCATGCATTTTGATTGGCTTTTGAGGAAAATGGAAAATGGAAAACCAGCCAATCAGCGTGTTAATAAGTTATAGGAGGAAATAGATGTCCTTGTTTGGAGGCAAGGGTCTACGAGCGCTCAGATTTTTCCGCTAGGTCTGATCCTTGACCGAGAGGACCGTTATGTTTTGTTACTAATGACCACTTAGAATTACCGTGTTTATGACACCGTTAGCTATTGAAACACCATAAAATAATCCTTAGCTATTGAAATCACCATAAAATAAAATCTAAAACACGGTTCCGAATACTAAAAGTGATTGTTTCGAACGTTAATATTTCCCTTTAGAAGTAGCTTTATATGCGCGAAAATAACGGCTTTGTAAATCGTTTTGGAAAATTCTTGTGTGAGTTAATACGATGAGCAATTTGTGATTACAATTATTATAATTTTAATTTTATTATAATTTTATTGAAATAGTACGTGTTAATTTTTTTCGCCTTTACGGGTTTTGACACTTTTAATTTAGCACAAAGTAGGACTTCTATTTCGTATCATAGTTATTCTCGATTACTATTACCGGTAATCGCTAATCATTTGTGGCCATTCTATAACCATTCTTCTCGTAAAATAGCAGTTAAAATATTTTAATACAGCTATAAGTCGAAAATTAATACTATAGAATAGCAAATCTGATTTTTGTTTGTAAAAGTATCAATTATTTTACTTAATATTATAATAAATTGTTAAATGCACAAAATTAACAATATTTAAATTTAAAAATCACTTAAAATTATTAATCATTGCGTTAAAAAAATCTTTCTGAATGCAATCGATAAAGAATGTACGTTTCTTTTTTTTGAATTTCGTTTCTTGCAATTTTTTATGTGCACAAGAGACAAATCACCATTTTATACTAAGTTATCGCTTATGCGATAAATACATTTTTTACAATTTAATCATTTATTATTAT